CAGTACTGTTTTTCAAACTGCTGCTATCAAAATATCTACAATTTTAAGTGCTTCTTTTAGTTACAATGTGAAAAATAAATAAAAACAAATCCTGTAGCCCACAACTTGTGGTTACAGTATTATCTGACAGGAGTTTGGTTTTTAAAGTACAGTATTAAGAGTACACTTAATCAATCTTGGTAATACAGGCAGTAGGTAGCAAAATTGATTACTGTTCAGATAATAAAATGTTGCATTTTAAAATTATTGTTATTGTCACTACACTTGCAACAAGTATTTCCACTCTCCTTTCTCTTGTTACATTGTAATTCTACGAAAATGTGCTAGCTCTGCAGAAACACAAGGGTCCAAGTCAGTAAAGCTTTTTACAAGGCAAAGAACCACATTGCTTAGAATCTTTAAAAGAAAAAAGAAAAGAAAAGAAAAGAAAAGAAAAGAAAAGAAAAGAAAAGAAAAGAAAAGAAAAGAAAAGAAAAGAAAAGAAAAGAAAAGAAAAGAAAAGAAAAGAAAAGAAAAGAAAAGAAAAGAAAAGAAAAGAAAAGAAAAGAAAAGAAAAGAAAAGAAAAGAAAAGAAAAGAAAAGAAAAGAAAAGAAAAGAAAAGAAAAGAAAAGAAAAGAAAAGTAAGAGAAAAAAAGTAACCCTACTACTTTTTTTCTGCAATCATTGGATTGAAAAATTTCAGTTTTATTATTTTAATATCTGCAGAACTAGACAGCGAGCATCTAAGAAATTTTACAGAACGAGATAACAAGCTCTTGAAACACTGATGCTAGTTTTCAGTTAACGCTGAGGGTAAAGAAGACTGCAGAGAAAATATAACACTCTAACATAATTTAAGAGGAGAAAGCAGGGTGACACCAATAGGTTAGCTTAATATCAGTCTCACACAATACCGTTGTACACAATCAACAAAGAAATAAAGGACAATGGTAAAAAGTAATGCTAAACATAGGCTTACAGAAAATAGGTCTTGCTAAATAAATTTGGTATGGCTTTCTGACAAGAATATAGGTTGGACTGGATAAAAATACCTTGTAGTTTCTGACCTACTATACTTAGATCTCTGTAAGATTTAGTGCCATATAACAGTCTGATTTAGAAGTTATTCAACACGAAGAAAACCTGGAATCTAAAACCACCTCATAAATTATTAGGGAGGCTTAGGAAAAATATTTTAAATCCACCTCATCAATAGTTAAAGCTGTTTTCTTAGCTCTAAAAATCATAGCTCATTATAGCCTGGAATACTATAAAAAGCTTCTTCCCCTTTAACTTTTCCTGCAGTTGGAAAAAAAATATATAACCATGGTTAAAGAAAAGGGAAGGAGGTATAAAGTCACTTTAAACTTTGCCTTTCATAGATTATTTTTTTCAGGAACAAAAACTTTAACATTAACAGATTTCCTCAATAAAAAAAAAATAAAAAAATCTTATGTACTTAAAAGCCATTTTCAGCAAAGAACGGATACTGATGAAAAATCTGAGCCAGTTCCACACACATGTAACATCTTGCAGCACTAAGCTTACCTCGCTTATACTTCTTGTATCCAGAGTCACCTGGAAACATTACAGAGGATCATTTAACACTTTTGACAAGGACAGGTGTGCAACAAATTATTATGTATAAGCTGCTTCATGGTCTTACCATATGGCACACATAAAGGAAATCACAGAAAGAGGAAAAACTACACCACATTTAGCTTGGTTGAAAGCTTGCACGCACAGATACTTATTCCAAAAGAGCTGGCACGGAGTAAGGTGCTATACCCTGTGCAAGGCATTTTTTTCCTATTGCATGAATCTCCAATACTGATGCCATAAGGAAGGTCCAGTGCTACTCAGTGTTTCTGCCTGTCCATTGAAGGACTATATAGAAGACTGCAGCTGATAGAATCTGCATGGAATACACGTACTGGTGAATGACAAATAAATAAGAGTAGGTCAACCCTGCTCCAGTAATCTACATCACACATGACATTGAATTAATGCGAAAAACATACTCGTATACAGCCCAGTGCAAAACACGCTCCATACCTGTGAAACAAGGGTTGTTTCGTACTTACAAGATGAGTAACTCTACTTGAAAATGGAGCAAATAGAAAGAAGATCCCAAAGACATAGTGAATACTCAAGTGCGTATAGAAACCCAGCAAGATGGAACTGGCTTCCCAGGCAAAAACATCTCGTGGATGTTTAAAATGGGCAGAAGAGAACAGAAAAGAGAACAGGCTATTAAATCAATATGGGGCCTCAGTGAGATTCTTGATGATCTATTTACCAAGTTCTAATTCCCATTCTAAAAGAGAAAAGTTAATGAACATTGATGATGCCTGAAAGCCCTGTCTTAAAAAGAAAAATAATGGCTTTGTTCCCTAAATTGTTCTTATGAGCATAAGACCCAGAACAGAAAATTTGTAAGAATCTTGTAATTAGTAACACATATGAAGACAAGAATGGCACAGAAGTCATTAAATATTATGAACTAATCATATGAACTGCTGTATTCTAAGTTAATTACTCAAGGACTATCTATTTGTCATTGTGGAGAGTTTAATAAGACTATCTGACCAACACTGGAATGATGAACACAAAGTGAGAAAAGCTTATATTGGATTAAATGACAGAAAATAACACAAAAGTATTCTAACATGACTAAATAAATAATTGTGGATTTTCACCTACAATAGTCCGCAGTTCAGATCAACTTCTCTCTGTGGAAGAAACAGAAAGGGCTCAGAAAATGGAAAGAGCTCAGAGAAGGGCAAGAAAAATATTAAATCTTTATAAGACTGGATGCTTCAAGATGCTTAAGACTTCCAAGAGGTAATCAGTGGATAAAGAGGGAAAGGCGGCAACAAAAAGCACTCTATAAAATTTATGTAAAGATGTTCAGCTAGGTCGTCATCTCACCCTGTGCCTAAACACTAGGGCTATGTCATAGTTAGGAAAAACAAAGGAAAAACAAACTAACTATATTAAATAGCAACAAATTCAGAGTTCATAAAAGTGAGGTTTTTTAATAGCACATACATAGCTCATGAATTCATGGCCTGTTCTTTGGCCCAAACTTTGTATAACTGAATAGAGTTACGTTTTCACATAAAATTATATCACTCACGAATCACACAATAATACATAAAAATTTCAAGAACAGAAATCGCTTATCCAGGTTTTCTATGTTGGAAACTCTTTATTCTCAAAAATTCAGGAGGAGTTTTAATGACCACTCCCTGTAATGCTTTCCCAATAGCACCTTCCAAAGAATCTGCCCAGTTGCCTATTGAAGACAAAGTATTGGCTTGAAACAATCTACAAATCCGTAAATAGCTGTTAAATGCCGCTATCCAGAACAAAAAAGCACCACATAATCACTCACAGCTCTAAAACCAGGAAAGCACAGATTACATACAGCACACACCTACTTTGTTCTTACCCTGATTTTCTCCACAACCCTAAAATTGCCAATGCAAAGCCCTGAGCAGAACAAGCTACTTAAGTGCCCAAACCAAGATGAGGAGGGAATATGAAGGTGTCAGGCTCCGGACACACATCTCCTGCACCATGCCATGTACTACAATAACCTTGCCAGCTTTAGCACTGCCCAAGTGTCAAAGCCTGTGGACCAAAAGCCTATAACTCAACACTTGTTATCGGTAACACCTTAATATCTCTTTTCTCCAGACACCTCCAGCCCTTTTTTCCAGCGCCAGCTTAGTTTTTCAGGGTAGGAAGAAACCACTTTTGTTCCTATCCACTGGCGACAGCCAAGCTCCCCAGGAAACGTATCAGAATAAGGATTTTTTGCACACCCCAGCCCTGGCTGCGTGTCCTCCCTGCACCAAGCGGGGACGAGCCCAAGGGTGGTCCAGGGGAGGCCATTCCTGCTCCCTCACGTCATCCGCACCCTTGCCAAGGTGCCAGCGCCACAGGGCCAGCACTCCCGCTCCCTCCGGCCGCCGTGGCGGGTCCCACCACCCTCGCAGCACCACGGCAGGACCGTCCACCTGTTCCCCTGCACCGCCACCACCACCCTCGCAGGGCCGAGAAGGGGGCCACCGAAGGCGACGGTGACGGTGGCCCCCCGGGAGGACGCTCGGAGGCGGGAGGGCGACCGAGGCGCGACCCCGGCCCGGCGGCCTCCCCCGCCGCATCGCGTCGAGGGTTGATTTTAGGCAATACTGTAATTATCTTTTCCTGTATCCTTTCCAGCGGCTCATGCAAGGAAGTACTAGATGTTCCCATGATATTCCATTTTTGATATAAACAATTCCATAATTGCTGGCTTAATAAAGTCTCGTTTCTGTGAAGCATTTCTGTGGAATGGCTCAGCTGTCTCTGGCACTCAGCTGCGGTGCAGAAACGGAGCTGGAATGAATTCAGTTCAGGTGAAAGACTAGATCTACAGTGGCAAGTAAGGCACAGTATTTCATTGTTTAATTCTTAGATGCCCTATTTTTTCAATGAGATCTATAGCCCTGATGAAGTGGAAGGAGTTAGATGTTAAAAACAGAAGGACAGGTGCTATAATGAACTTAATCTCAGTGACAATTTTCTTACTTTTCTCAGTTATCTCTTGCAGATGCTTTTACTATCTGCTCTCTGACTGCAGGGCTGGGACACACAGGCCGTTGGTGAACGGTTACACTGGTATTTATTCCTGAATTGCTGTACTTGAATGGCTCTCACTGAATTTCCTCTAACTCAGCTTGAGGAGCTGCTCCCTCAGTAAACTTTGGGCCCGCTTCGCCTCCCCGCCCCGCTCTCCGGGGAAGAGCTCCCCGCTGCCTCGGCCTCAGGCCTCCCTCCGAGCCCGACCCCCGGCCGCTCACCCGGCAGACGGGCCTCCATCCCGACCCCGCGGCCCCGCTCCCGGGCCCGTCATGCCGGGGCACGCCCGGGCCTTGGGCGCCCCCCGCCCCCAGGCCTCTCCACCCCGGGCCCCAGGGTCCCTCAGCCCCGCGGCCCGCGGCCGCCTCCTCTTTAACGGATCCTCCCCGGGAATGGCTCCCTCAAGGCCTGGGGTGGGACCCGCGCTCGGGCCCGGGATGCGGCTGCCATTAAACAGGAGGTTTTTGGGTTTGTTTTTTTTTTTTTCCCCTCAGATGAAGTTATCCGCAAGCGGCTGCTGATCGATGGCGATGGTGCTGGTGACGACAGGCGGATCAATTTGTTGGTGAAGAGTTTCATTAAGTGGTGTAATTCCGGATCTCAAGAGGAAGGGTATTTGTTTTCTGGTTTGGTTTGTTGTTTGTTTTTTATTTTTTTAGTCTTGGGAGCGATTAGCTCACGTTTCAGTGAAAAACTGGTCTCAATCTAGTGTGAGGCAGCCCATGTTGAAATGTGTAAATCTGCTTTTTCCTACGGCTCGGTGGCCGTTCCAGCCCAAACGCCGAGCGTTGGGGTCGACCATGAGGACTGGAGGAGGTCTCCAGAGGGGTCAGAAGTTCCTGAGGGCTGTGGGCTGAGATCCACTGCTCCAGTGCGTGGGGGATCATCCCGCCGCTGCGGGATCCCTCCTGGAGTCCCGCTATTATAACAGGATCATGACTCAAATATTTTAGTTGGCAGTTCTGCGTTTGTTCTGTTAGGGAAGGGTGGTACTACTGGTATTTCTGCTGCTGGTTTTTGTTTAGTTTTGTTTTTTTGTCTTCAGAAAACAGGCTAAAGTAGTAAGGGATGAGCGACAACATGGTGTTCTGCCATGGGGTGCTGGATGTAGGTTGCCAGAGGACACGATATAACAATTGTGTGTACTGCAGCATTAAAATATTAATCTTGGTGATCACAGAGCCAGCCCCAGCTGGGAACTTTATAAGCCCTGGACCGATTTGCCCATTGCTATACTACTCACTTTGCACCTTTAAGGGCAGGGTAGAATTAATGGGTGTGATGTTTCTAACTGCACTTTCAAAAAACCATACGTTGAATCTCTGAAATATTTTATTTCTTTAATAATGATTTAACTTTTCCTTAGGCTACAATGAGGCTTTGTTTTCTTGTTTTGTAAAGGTAGGGGGTATGTTTATGCTGCTGAGGAATAAATGTCTTGTCTATTTTCAGTTACAGCCAGTACCAACGAATGCTGAGTACTTTATCACAGTGTGAATTTTCAATGGGAAAAACTCTTCTGGTGTACGATATGAACCTGAGAGAAATGGAAAATTATGAAAAAATCTATAAGGATATAGGTAAAGATTAGAAAATATTACTGTTTTCTGTTTAACTATTTATCTTATGAACAAGCTTGAGCCAATTCTTGTGAACATAATACATACATATAATGAGTGGTTGGGTTTTTTTTTTTCTTAATAGATACTGCTTATACAGAGCATCTCATCAGTATATAAAACATACAAATATAAGCACTTTTTTTAACCTATTGAAGCTGGTGGATGTAGCAGGCCAGCATGCCAGAAACAGCTCTTTATTTTTTCATAGTTTTATCAGAATGGCTTGTTTACACGTATTGTAAAATTTCAATATAGCTCTGTATCTCTTTTTTTTTTTTTATTTTAAGAAAATAGTATAGCTGCAGCACATGAGAAGATTTCTGAATGCAAAAAACAAATCCTGCAAGCAAAAAGGATTCGAAAAAATCGCCAAGGTAAAGAGAAATACCGTTATTTACACTGGTCGGTTTCATTATTTTGTTATCTTTTAAAATACATTGTATCAGAAAATAGATTCCAAAGTTTTGAAAGCACAAGGGAAATATACTGGCATCATGAATATCTAGTCTGGTGGGTTCCACAACCACTACTGAAAGTTTTTGGTGGATGAAGCAGGCAGGGTTCAACCAATAGATCTCAATGACACGCAACATCAGGAAAACCTGAAACAGTAGTTCAGAGAGATGTTTTCAGGCCAAAGAAAAACCCCAAAAGCATCCTGTCACAACTCAGGTGACTTGAGAAGAACTGAGGCACTTTATTAACAGCAAGACAAGGGTTGAATAGACTTACACCCAGCACTGAAGATTATATTCCTTCAGCTCTTAAGGGAAGGTAATGTTTTGGCATACACAAGGACAGTGGTGCCAGTTACACACCCAGCAACTCTGTATCTGTCCTCACTGAATACCTGTTATGAGAAGTGTATTTTTTCCCCTACTATTAAAAGTATGTGCTGATAATTTCAATTGAAACTTAAAGCATTTCGTTGTAATGCTGTCTTATCAAAAGATTAGAAATTGAGAAGTAAGAATGTGCTTTTTCTTGATAAATGAAATGCAAAAAGAAAATGTTTAGAAATATAACAGATAAAAGGCTTGAAATAGAACTGTTTGATCAATTTTGTGGATAATTTTGGTCTCAACTGGAAATTAAAAGAACCTTAACCAATAAGAGTGTAGAGTTCAGACCTATGTTTGTAAAGACAGAAGAAGTGTTTGCTTTTTGATATGTTCTGTCCAGCCTGCAGCAGAGATTTTTCCATGTGAATGAGGCAGTTGACGTATGTACAACCTTACTATCAGGAAATGGCTATGTTAATTGCCTGTATGACCATAATATTGTTCTTAATGTGTAATACAGTTTAAAAAAAATCCTGTTGTTTCTCATGCATGTTTATGTGTAACATCTCATCAGCACCATTATCTGTACATATACATTAGATAGTATCTAAACCAAATGCATACACAAAACCCCAAGTGTGCAGCAGTGCAGAGCTCTCTAAAGGTCCTGTTTTCTGGCCTCATCCTTTACGAATCACTAGCACGGGATAAGTTTGAGTGATTAGATAATGGCCTGCAGTCATATTTGAAGTTTATTTAAAGTCTGTTTTGATGTAATCACCTACTTTGAAATGTTGTAACATGGTATAAATTATATACATTTTTATACTTGGATATTTGCACGTACTTTTTAATATATGCAAGGTGTTATGTACAAATTTGAAAAACGTTAAAACAGTTTTTCAAGAAGGAGAAAGAATCTGTACTATTCTATGTTAGCTAATTTTTGGGTCTTGAGTCTATATTTTCAGAATTATTTAGACTAACTATTTAAATTTATTTCAGAATATGATGCATTGGCCAAAGTTATACAACACCATCCAGACAGACATGAAACATTGAAGTGAGTATGAGACTACATTAAATTATAATAAGCCAGTAAGCTGGACGTCACCAGATTTGACATTTCCTTGGTTTCAGTTTGACCTTTCCTCACTTTCCTATAATTTCTTTTGACACAAGAGAAACTTGGGTTTAGTTTTAAAATTGTGCCCTTATCAGCTCTCTTTAATTAATCTCCATCTGTATGGGTTCAGAGGCATTGCTAATCGTTTTGTATTTGAAATTTTTTGCAGTGTTAGGGTGAATAAGTCAACTCAGATGTAAATGCAAACCTAATGTCAGTTTACCAGGGATGAGTTTCTCCAGAAAAGAGTGATAAAATTAAAGGGTGTGTGTCAGCAAGAGATTCAGTGACACCAAATATATAACATAGAATCATAGAATGGTTAGAGTTGGAAGGGACCTTAAAGATCATATAGTTCCAACCCCCCTGCCCTGGGCAGGGACACCTCCCACCAGAGCAGGTTGCTCAAAGCCCCATCCAGCCTGGCCTTGAACACTTCCAGGGATGGGACATCCATGACCTCCCTGGGCAACCTGTTCCAGTGTCTCACCACCCTCACAGGAAAGAATTTCTTTCTGGTATCTAACCTAAATCTTCCCTCTTCCATTTTAAAACCGTTACCCCTTGTTCTGTCACTACACTTCCTGACAAAAAGCCCCTATACATACAAGCAAGGTGGAATAAGGGAAAGCAGGAGAGAAAGCTCCTAGGGTGGGTTTTTTTTTTTTTTTCCTGTTTTCCTTGCGGTAGTTGTTCCTGCATGCCCAGTTATAAATGACTGTGTTGTGTTCTGCAGTATAACTTGCCCTGGCACGCAGGTTAGACCTACCTGTTGTCCAACTCGTCTTGCATGTAACTTACAGCTTTGCTTGTGTCATTGTCGGATTGGGCTCACTACCTGTGCTTTTGGGTGACTTTGGGCAGTTGTGGGGAGATAATCTTTTAACTTCTGTCAATCCACAGAAACATTCCAGGACTCATTGCGTCTATGAGTTTGTTCTTAACCTGATTAAAAATGTAGCGTGGGGTTACTGTTCTTATTTAAGCGCAGCTTGCATCTATCCTGTTGCCCACTTTCAGTGAAATTGGAGAGAGAGGCTGTCTTTTCACATTCCCTGGTCTTTTATAGCGAAAGGATTTTTGATTATATTACCCTAATAATAGCATTTTAGTAGCAATAAGCCTTGTGTGAGAATTTCACACTTTTCTTTCTTGTATGTTGGTTTTTTGCGCCTTGATTTCATTACCACAACTTTGATTATTACACGCAATTCTCATGAGGCTCGACTACTTCTAACTTCATTAGTCAGCATGTGCCATTTATCAAGTGAGGCTTCATAATAGACAATTATCAAAAGTGAAATTTTTCAGATAAGTCAATTGATTAAGAATGGAAACAACTAAATGATAGTAATTTTTTTTCTTAGAGAATGCCAGGTTTTCAGGTTTGGAGGGGTTGTTCTAATTTTGCTTAGCACATCCAAGCATAAGTTTCTTGTGGTAAGTTACAGCTAGTACATTTGGCTTTTTTTCTTTTCTTAAACAATTTTATCATCTCTTTAGGAGCATATATTACAGTTAGAAATACCAGTGTGTTCATCCACTGGAAGAATGGCTACAGCGTATGCCCTTTGTCTGTTGTATCTGTAGTCAAAGACACAGATTTGAACTATAGCACAGTACAATCCCCCATTTTACTATGTCCTATTTCCCCATCTAACAGAATAGAACATTTTCAAAAGGAGCTTGGTCCACGGGTATTTTAGTTTTAACTGACCTCTCCAAGTGAGTAGACTTCAAATAACAGGAACAAGATGAAGTTTTCATCCAATGTCTTAATTACAAGGCTTCTTTTCTCTCCAGTTTGAAGAAAGTAGACAGAAAATGGTACAATGAACCAAGAAGGACCACCCTTTAATCAGAATGGAGAAAGCCTCACTAACAATGTCACGCTTTTCTTGGAAATCTTAATAACTAAAAACACTTGAGAAAACCTCTTGTGAGGAGAAATGTCACGGTTTATTGTGAGAGTTACGTTTACAGCTTTTGCAGGTCATATGGCACAATAGGATAAAGTTCAGAAAAATACTTTCTTTATGCTTTTAAGGTACTGTTTCTTGGAACAACTAGTCATACAGCATAAAAGAAGAGAAGCTGTTATCAGCTTAGTCACAGGTAATGTACAGGAGCCAATTCAGGAAGTGACAGGAGCTGAACTACTAAATGGCATTGCCCACAGTGTAATTAAATGCAGTATCAGAAGAGCTGTTAAGAGGACCAAGAAATGACACTGAGTCTTAGAAAAGATGATGATACAAAAATGAGAAGGCTGGGTGAAGATTCTCTGGAGTGGAAAGTAGAAGACATAAAATGCCAGATGTAGCTTGGATGTTACTAGGAAAAAAAAAAAAAAATCACGTCTTCTCACAGTCTACTTATACCTGACAGCACAGTGTAAATAGCAAGATTTGGCCAAATAGAAGTCTTTCAGGAACTAGAACCCAAATTCTAGCAAAATCACTGTATGAGCCTATAAGCTGTTCGTCTGTTTGTGTTATAGGAAAGGATAATGTCACACTCAGCCCTCTTTCAGGCATTCCCTTCAAGGTACCAGGCATACTGGCTCAAAAATAAGACAACGCTCTCAGGTAGCACTAAAATAGACCTTTTTCCCAGCCATCATGAGTTACTGAGGACTGGAGGCCTTCCTGTGGTTCCCTGCCCAGGCCAGTTGCAGCAGCTGTTAGTGCGTCAGTTCTTTCAGGAAAAAAAA